ATAAGTAGAAACCATTCCTGCTAATGAAGGATCTCAAAATATAACTTGGGTGAAAAAAATTCAGTCCAAATGAAAATTTATTTTATGTTGGTTATACTTATTTAAACCTGGAGAGGCTCATCCAGTCTCTATGAGTGGCAATGGCTTAGATTTGTGTTCCACCTGGCATCGGGTATCACCATGGAAAACATTGGCATCAACCTGTGATTTCTCAGTAACATATGTTAGTACTTTGTAGAAGGAGTGATTATTAAGTACTTTCATATAAGAGAATGTTCTGCTCTTTTTCTCTCCCATAGCCTTCCACACGCATAACCTCTTACTTCCCTCATCACGCCCTTCATCTTAACCAGAATGAACTCGTTCTGTCCTCAATGAAGCAACTCATAGTTGAATTACATCTGGTTCAAGCACCAATCTATTATATAAAGTTTTACGGCATTTTAAACTCACCAATGACATAAACTATTTAAATCTACACACACATATTTCTACAATTCTTCCTTAATTATTTTTAAATTCCTGAATCTTCAGTCATGTTTTTCAGTTATTGATCCAGATTTCATTAAAAGCAAAGGGATGGAATGACTTAGAGTTATTTAAAAATCTAGTCCATGGAGTGGGAAGATAGATCAGTACATAAAAATAAATAAATGTACATAAAAATAAAATATTGGTCCCAGTCCATTTTCTCTCAGTTCCTATTCTCTTCAAATCACCACAAATATGTAATCTTAAGAAAATCAAAAGCTTTGCTAAGTGTGTTCAATCCAAGGCAAGGTTAGTCATCCTCTTTTACCTAAGAGATTGTCCCATCTGTTTCTCTCTTATTTAAGATTCTTCTGTGACTCCTGCCTTTGAGTGGATCTTGAAGGTCAGTTACTCATCAATATTTTCATCACAAAAAAAAAACTTAAGGGTAGGGCTGGAGAGATTCTCAGTGGTTAAGCACACTGGCCGTTCTTGCAGAAGACCCAGGTTTGAATCCCAGCACCCATAGTACCTAACAACCATCTGTAACTCCAGTTCCGGGGGATCTGACATCCTCTTCTGGCCTCCATAGGCACTTCATGACTCAGGTGCACTTACATACATGCAGATATAATATTCATACACACAAAATAAAAATAAATAAAGTTTAAAAGATAAAGCTTAAGGGTAAAATGTTTGGATATTTGACTGAGGTAGATTAAAAAGAAAAGGGTACTGGTGTGATCTCTTTACTATATTAGGCTCTACTGCAAAAATCCTTTCTTTCTATGTTACTTGCATCAACTTATATAATATTCTGCACTTTAGTCATCTCCCCTAGCAGGTGTTCTTGAAACCAGTTACCACATCACCACATCATGTTTATCTTCCTGTTCAAATACACAAAGAGACCTTCCAAAGATACTATTATTGAACATTCTCAAGTAGTGTTGATGTTATTTCTGATGGAAAAATTATTAAAATTCCTGATAAATTCAAATATTTACTTAAAATTTACAGTAATCTTTATTAATGTTTCACCTTGAGTGTTATATTTTGAAATTACAGAAAGACCATTTACTCAGATATGTCTATGATCATTTTTTTAAGTTAGGCTAAGCAAAACAGTGAACAAATTGTCCTTTTAAACAGTGATACAAGTATTAAATGATGCACTTGTAAATGTGTCCAAAACATCACTTTTCACAAGCCTCAATTCATAATGAAGATCTAGAACAGGTGAAATTACCCCAACCCCAGTTCTTTGAATATAAACAGTCCAGTTCTGAGTGTCCTGAAGTTTACCTATTGATTAGTATCAGAATCAGAATAATTACAACTAATGGCCACGGCTGGCTGGAAGAATGCACTGGAAGAAAGTCTCTCTCCTCTCTCTTCTTTTCACTTTTCTCTTCTCTGCATTTTTCAAGTTGGTTGGTTTTATGCTTTGAAAACTCATAGCTTCTCCTTTTGCATTGTATTTATCAAGTCTCATGTAAGATGTGACTCCTTACGTGCCCTTCATTTTATTCTAATGTATTCCAATTTCATTCAAATGATTAAGCTATACCATGATACCTGTGACATGTCAAACATAGTTCCTGACATACACAAGATATACACTGGCTCAAGGTCTAGCCTTCTACTTCACCTTATTGTGGGAACCATTAATTAAGAAGAATGCAGTACCCATGTCAAAAAGAAATATAGCAATGTTTGAAAAGTCCAACCAATTCCAAGCTACTGACATATTTCTTTGTTCTAAGAGTACTCAGTCACTTCCGTTTTAACTTACAAGGCTTTGGCTTAGTTCTTTATATACCACTAAAAAATTCACTTTCTTTAAATGTGAGAAATTTAAATATGATGAAATTATGATAAATGTGTTTCTTGGTTTTTCTGCTTCAGTCTTATCCCAAATTTCAAAACTGTATTGTTTTCTAATGCAAATCTTTACTGAACCAGCCACATCTTTCTTTAAGTTGATGGTTATCACTTGCTCTAAAGTATAGAATGCCATAAGAACTCTAAGGCAATAGGCAGCAGACAACTTATTTGAAATAATATACTTAGAAGACTTCTTTTGAAGCACGTTTGTCTTGACAACTTCATTCTGATATTTTCATCTCAGACTAAGAAGAAAAATTTTTATGATCCATGATTCACTTTATAACAGTCTAGATACCATATGTATTTGTTTTAAGGAAAATAATTTTTATCCTTCTTTATAGCCCAGCTCTAATAACAATGATGTTATTAACAAGGAATCCACATCGATCCATGGCTCAGAATGACTAAAAATCTGTTTGGAAACATCTAAAACATTTCTTGGGGAAATTATATTTTTCGTTTTATACTTTACTATTTTTTCCATTTTGCTTTTCCATTCAAGGTAATGATTATTCTCTAAAAACGAAAGCTTAAGACTTGAGAGAGAAAATTTTTTCTTCATAATCTCCTAGAAAATATCATGTTAATCTGTTTCTAGCACAAACAGTCAAGGTGACTTGTTTGTTATTTCTTTTGCTATAGAAATTGACAAGCTTGTTGTCCTGAAAGCACCCTATGGAATGGTCTCCGTTTGCTTGTTATCGATAATGTGTCACAGGCAGAATCTTGACCTCCCTAAAACTGAGATATGCTAAGACTCAGTTTCTGTAAGAACTGTTTGATCCAGCCAATCATCTTCCTCATTTAAGCACCTGAGTAAAAGACTATGTGCTTTGTTTTTCAGTGAGTCCAACCAACCTGTCTCAATTTAACCTTCCTGGACCCAGCATGATGCGTTCCAACAGCATCCCTGCACAAGACTCTTCCTTTGACCTCTATGATGATGCCCCACTTTGTGGTAGTGCCACTTCTCTGGAGGAAAGGCCACGTGCCATAAGTCATTCAGGATCATTCAGAGACAGCATGGAGGAAGGTAATAAGAATAAGGTAGAAGCTTGGGGAAAGGAGAGGGTAAAACTTAAATTATTCTATGTAACTCTGAAAGGAAAATGATTCCATTCTTCATAGCACAAGGATTCCTGAAGAAAAGTAAATTATCAGGTTAATTCTCATTTGAGGTCCCTTGAAGCTTAAAGCTACTTTATTGTGCATTACTTTCTTGTTTCTTTATATACTTGGAAATATGCCAAATTTTTTTAGATTCGTGCTTGGCTATAGATCACTTTGGAACAAATGCAGTGCTCTCCTACAGATACTCTAAAAGCTTTAGAGAACATTGCCAGATGTGCCAACTATAATAGAAAGAATTTCACTTGACACCTCTATTAAAGAAATAAAGATACATAAACCAGAAAAGTTTATCTTATAAACCTATCTTGTATTACTTTTTTCTCAGAAATTCTATGCGCTGTTAATTATTTTATTTTAGAATTTTTATTCTATTTAAATTTTTCCTTTAATCATATTTTTATCCAAAGGCAGAAAAATTCATACCTGACCTAATATGTGTTTTAGTTGTACAGTTACATGTAAATATTCCAAATATATTTATGCAAAAACCTCAGGAAATTTAATATGTTTAAATTTATATATTTTTTCAAGAACATATATTATATCAACCTCAGCAATGATTAAGGGATTTTCCTTTGATTTAGTGAATCATTTTTAATTACTCATGAAGAAAGCATATGGTGTGCATATCATAAATCATGCCACCTAAAGATAAAATAAAACTAAACATAGAGATATAAAGATATTAGAATAAAATAAAACATAAAAACCACCATTAAATTACTATGTACAACATTTTAAAAATCCCAAAATTTTAAATTTACTAGAAGCCATTTATAAAAAAAATAAGGTGAAAGTAAAGAATAGATCTTCCCTTTGTATCTTATTTGAGGTATTTTGTGAATAAATGCTTGACTAGCTATCAAAACGGATGCATGTTTTTCCTTCATTATTGTAAATTTTATGCGCTGGCACTAAATTAGTTGGCCACCTTTGCCTCTGCTTCTTACTGTAATAACAAACCACTGGGTTCCTTGTGACAGGTAGTGAATTCTACCCTGGACATCAGCTGTCAGTTGCAGTGTAGTATACAAAATATACCTAGTCGGAAATGTAAGGCCCTTGCTTTTATGATATGGTTCTATCAGGGTTTTTCACACAAGCCTCATATTTTTTATATTCCCTGCTATGCATATTGATGGCATTTTAAGTGTCTCGTTTACAAATGCAGTGATGCTCTTATGCTGGAAAATTTTGGCCCCCAGACTATGAAATTTAAACAATATGAATCACTGAAACCACCCTGAGTGATCAAGATGGACTTTCTGATGCCCAGACATTGAATGAAGTATCACACTGACAGATGGGAAGGATTAGCCACAAGCTATAAAAGTGACCAGCCTATAATGAGCAAGTGGCAGGAAAAGAGTGAAAATAGGCTCTGCTGGTTCATTGTCCTTCTTCCTTCTGGGATTCCAGGCTAACGTTCTGCTGTTCTTTTAACCTCATTAAAGAATTATTAGAGGTTGAAAGAATGGGCCTTTTCATAAAATAAATGAGTAATTGACTCAAACAGTAATATTTTGCATGTTTACTAGAATAGTAGTATTGTCCCAAGTTATAATTCTGGAGGCTTTTCTTCATTCCACTTTTGACAAACAGCTATGTACTAATTCCTTCTTTTTTCATTTCTTCTTCACTTTTATTAATACAAAATAAAGTAGACTTCAAGCCACATCAAAGATAACAGTCACATAAAACCATAAAGCATATTTAATCATGATAAATGTGGGTAATATATTTCTTAGATATTGCCTCATATTTCATTGGCCATTCTTCAGTGCAATGATTAGAACCTGAGACACTAAAAACCTTAATATTATTAGTTTTTGTAAGTCATTTTCTGCAAGTATCTATAGTGTACAATTCAGGATACAATCCCAAAATGGAAAAGCATTCACTTAACCAATGTTAAATTTTATAACAACTAGCTTTGAAATAAATACAAGTGTTCAATTATTGAAAGTCTCCAAGATACAAATAGGGTAATTAATAATAATGCCTAAAGTTTGGCTGTTAAATACTTACAACTTGTTACATTTAAACTGATAATTTAAAAAGGAAACTTGGGAGAAAGAATTCATTTTACCCCCACTTCAGTAGATTTGTCTATACTTTTTAAAAATTATTTATTTAATAACCATATAATTAGAAGAAGCATTTCATTACAACAGCTTTGACATATTCAATAACAATTTCCAGAGCTAAGCTGCATCTCTTTCAAAACTGGCTGTAAATTTTTAGGTTTATAGTTGAATTATTACAGTTAGACAATATTGTACTCAGTATAAACCCTATAAAGACATAAAATATGAGGTTTTAATCTTTAAAAAAGATATCCATTTCATTATTAAAATACACAGTTTCATACAGAAAAATTCATTTAACAGTTGGTTACTTTCTGAGCTCCTTGGCATCTGAGCATGGATATAAAGTCATCAGGTAGATTTCAATGGTAAAGTTTTCACATTACTAATTATTAAGGAGCAAATTTTTATGCCTTGAAGATTTTTTTTTCTTTTTTAATTTATTTATTTATACACCCACTTCTCAGGTAGCACCCTCCCATAGCCTCCCTCCCCCCACTAGAGCCCTTATACTTTGATATCTCTGCTACTGTCTGCTTGTACTATACTTTTAAAGGGACTCTTCTGGAGCTGGGAAGATGGCACAAATGGATAAGAATTTTTTCCTTGATGTTCCATGAGCCTTAGGAGTAGAGGTTCCACCATAGATGAGTCACTTAGGGCTGGGCATCTCTCAGACATATATTTTCTCTGTGTGTGACCAGTAGGGAAACTCTGTAACAGCCTCCGTGTGTTGAAACAGGGGTAGAGAGGATACTAATACATCCCTCAACTCTCACCAGCGAAGCTTCCTCATACAACAGAGTTCAATGCATATGGAAGGCCACAACAGACTAAGTTTTAGAGAATAAGAGACTACAGAGTGTGTGTCTCTGGATAGGGCTCCAGTATTAAACCTAACCCACCCATGGCTCAGGGACCATTGTGGAAGAGGACACAGAAAGATTGTAAGAGCCAGGGTCGGTGCATGAACATAAGAAAACAGAAGCTTTCAGGCCTCCAGGAGCTTGCTCATATGAACCTGCAACAGTGGTGACAGCATGGACAAGACCCGTAGTGACTCAATAAGACAAAAATCCAGCATAGAACTAGGGAAATGGGCAGTAGGCCCCGAACTTAGCCAAGGAACTATTGGCAACTCATTAACGTGGCGTAAGGGAGAGTAGGGACTGACTTTAGATATTCTGACTCTACTTGATGAACTTGCACCAAAGGACATCTAAGTACAAATGCTTGACCAGATAGGTCTTAACATATATGACAGAATGCATGAAATACGGTGGGGTGTGGTATTGCGGGGGGGGTCTGGAGTTGGAAGGGGATCTAAAATTTTTCCTATTATATGAAATGCACAAAAACTCAATAAAAATATACATAAAAACTATAAAGTAAGTAAAGAAACAAATTTTGGTTCTGTAGGTTTGTTTGAAAAGCAGTTACATATTAATTAAAAATTACTATGATTCACCAAAAAAAGATTGCTTCCTTTGTAAACATGAGGACAGTTTAATCCCCTGTACCCATATAAAAAGCCAGGTAGGACTTGTGCACCTGTAAGGAAGCCTCAGAGGACAAAACAGGAGGAGCTCTTTCGGGAAGCTGTCTAGCTGAAAGAGTGAGCTTCCGGTTCGGTGAGGGATGCTTTCTCAAGGCAATAAAGGGGAACATTATGAGGAAGACACCTGCTATCCTGCTATCCTGCTATCCTGCTATCCTGCTATCCTGCTATCCTGCTCTAGCCACCTCCACACACCCCTGTCTATACATCACTCATACACAGGGAGTCCAAACCCACACACGCACACACACACACACACACACACACACACACACACACACACACACAGAGTAAGTAAATATGATACTCTTCTTGTCTGTCAAATTTCACCTCCTCATTCTTATTTGTGATGTACAATCTCAGCACAGTTTTCCCAGCCCTCTACAGACCAGATTATAAGCATCTTCCTGTGCTCTTAAAGTATTCAGTACATTTATGTCAATAACATGTATTTTACTCTGTTGTGATTGGCTTTTTAGTTATGCCTTTCTAGTTCTTCTTTTTGAGCACATGGGTTTGCAGCTCATCCATGTATAATACCAGGGTTTTGGAAGGGTATGACACACCACATGTGTTCAAATAATGCTTGTTTAAGGGCTGAATTAAAAGAAAAAGCTGTATTGCTACATAAAGAAAAAAGGAATAACTTATTTATAAATATAATTAAGTACAATTTTATCTGCCTTTGGATTTAATACATTGGATGTATAGAAATATAAGGCAGACCTTTAATTATGATGAAATTTTCTTTGATATTTATCAGTATGAATCAGAATGAAATTTCTATCTTAATTTTATCTCGAACTAGAAGTATTTTCATAATACTAAAATTCATAAAGAAATAATTCTACATTAAAAGAAATTAGTGACTCATCAAAATAATGAAATAGCAAATTGAATAAAGTGCTTATCTCCTTGAAAGTATATGGAGAGGGGCTGGAGAGATGGCTCAGTGGTTGCCCTTGCGGAGGACTTGGGTTCAGATCCCAGCACCTGCATGGTGGCTAGCAACTGTCCCTAACTCCAATTCCAGGGAATCCAATGTCCTCTTCTGATGTCTACAGACACTGCACAGCATGGGTGTTTCTACATACATGCAAACAATACACTCATACACATAAAATAAAAATAATAAAATATTTTAAAGATAAAAAGAAAGTATGTGGAGAAAAATCTGAAACTCCATGTTTGTTTTAGGAGAATGAAATTAAATAAACTGAATATGCAAGAATCTTTTTGAAGTTTAAAAGTGTATGATAATTCAGGTTTCCATGGCTTTCTTTTTATTATGCAAGGAAATTGTTTTCAGCTTCCAGCATGTGAAAACATGCTGTATGTGTCACACTCATGACTTCTCCCTGTAACTTGGTGACTATACTGTTACAAATGTTTATGAGGCCTCTCTACATCTAAACATCTGGATCTCCAAAACTTTCTAGTAGACTTTTTTTCATAATCCAGTAACTTTATGTGGTTATTTTATACCACTATCCACCTTTTCTTTACTTTTTCAGTAAAAGTTTAGGGTTTATGAGTCGACTTCAGTGTTTTAACCATTTTCTTTTATTCTCTAGTTCACGGCTCTTCGTTATCATTGGTCTCCAGTACCTCGTCTCTTTACTCCACGGTAAGTATTCACTGTTCTTCCTGTGTTGTGCACAGGTGACCAAGGAAGGTGAAATTTGCATAGCAGTTTTACAGTAAAATAAAGGTCCTTCTGTGACCCAATTGTACATGGTTTCACTTGACTTCAGTACATTCATTATAATCAATAAGTAAATGGAAAACTGAATTTCAAAACATTCTGGAAAATGGCATGGAGTCCTTGAACCAATGCATTGTGTTCTGCCTTTAGTCCAAAATGCTGATTTGTCTTCCCTGTCTTGCTTTCTGACCCATGGCTAAAAATTGTTCTATAGTGTTTTCTCTACTGTACTTATTATTTTTACTTTCACTTTCTAAGAAAATTGTAAGGATAAAGGTTTAAAAGAACAAGATATGTGGCATTTTTCTTTTAGAGAATATGTATCTTCTGAAATAGAGTCATTTGTTTGTTTGTTTGTTTGTTTGTTTGTTTTTGACAGGGCCTCCCTAGTCCCAGCTGCCTAGAAGTCACCAGACTGGCCTCTGTCTTGCAGAGATCTGCCTGCCTCTGCCTCCCAAGGGCTGGGATTAAAGGCATGCACCACCATACCAGATGTGTTCACTTTTAAGAATTATTTCTTAGGTGACAAATGCCAGTGTTTCAACTTTTCCAGGAATGAGATCCTTTAGTTTATTTTTGCCAAAATGAGAATTTCTGGCCATCGAATATATCTTCTTCATTTAAAAATAGCCAGCATCTCTGACATGGAAGCTTCCTTTACAGCTAGGTAACAGCGAGGTATTTAAATCTCAGCACTCTCAGAAGGAAATTCAACAAATAATCTTTATTCTTATATTGAAAGGTTATTGAGAAATTAACAGCTTTCAACTTTCACTCAGTAATTAAACATTAAGACATATTTTGGGTGCTGGAGAGATGGCTCATCAGTTAAGAGCAGTGACTTGTACATGGTGCACTGATATAAATGCAGGCAAACACTCATACACATAAAATAAGAATAAATAAAATCAATTTTTTAAAAACAATCTTGTGTATTTTCACAATTTTTGTTAGGCTTAAGTGTTACAGCCTCTTATTTATAAGTCAATCTTATTTACTGCTTTATATACAACATTCAAATCACATTATCATTGCAGACATTATTCTTATACTTCTCTCTTTAATAGTTAAATTTTTCAATATGTTCTCTAAATGAAGACAATATCATTGTTTAGAAAAACATATCGTTTTAGACTAACAGACAGAAAAGTTAGAAAATGTAAGATTTGAAAGAACACATAAAATAAATATATTAAGATTTGTTATTCCTCCTATTGGGCCACGTCTGCTGCTTGTTAATATGTATTCTGCTGTATACTGTAGACTTTGTATGTTTGTATAACAAGAAAAGATGGAGCATCATTATAATCACAGATTTTGTTAACTTTCATTGGTTGATGTAATCACATTTTAAACAATTAGAATATGCGTACAAATTTCCATTATGGCTCAACTACAAAAAGATCATGGGTTTAACGAAAAACAGATGATCAACTGGTCTATTCCAATATCTGACAGATCTCCCCTTAACAGTAAGCATGTTTTATATACATTAATACCATAACCATGATTGCAAGTTACTATTGATCATTTGTAATATATCTAAAGCAACTGAATAGGTACTTGTGTCTAGTAGCTGCTGAAGTGGATACTACAGGTTTATATTTTAAAACTGGTTGAGTGCATAAAGGCAGATTGCACAGGATCAGCACGTACTATGTAACACTGAACCCCATTAATGGGTACAATTAAAATATGGTCATTAATAATAAAACTAAATAGAAAAGCTAATTTGTAATGCTGAAAATAATGTAACACTAGGAAATAATAATGGAAAAAATGTACCACTTTCCTCCTATGCATACTTTTTTACCTTCTGTGTCATCACCACTAGAAGCATTCTCAGAATTTGTACCATTGGGAGGTCCTGGAAAACAGGATATAGCCCTCAGGAGGCAAACTTACAGTATAGAGCCAACATTATGGCTGGATCTTAATGTCACGATCTGTCAAATGATGAATATGCTTTTATTGTACTGGCTCAGAGGTAACATTCTTGAATGGTATTTACAAAGCCAGAGTCTGAGGTGTCCCTGTATCTTGGCCACTTGAAACATTAGGAAAAAGTCTTTTTAGCACTTTTTCAACAAACACTGATACAGGAAGATCTACCCTCAATGTTCAGAGCACCATCCATGGGCTGGGGTCGCAGACATGCTTTCCAACGCACTGACATACTCGACCCTTATGGGGGAATCCAGCGACCTGGGGGAGCTAGACGCTTCCGGATTCCCTGAAAGTCAATTCTTAAAGCAACTTATTTAAAATGACCCTTTAAAATATTTCACTATGAGTTATTGGCCATAGAGGTCCCAGAGCCCTAATTGGATTTGGGGGCTTAATAATAATAATAATAATAATAATAATAATAATAATGGTAATAATAGACATGAAATCAGGACTAAAGTGGGTCGGTAGGTCCTGCAGTGGGAGGAAGAAGTTGGAGTGAGGTGGCTGGGGATGATTACAGTCAAAATACGTTGTATAGTAGTGGTGAATAGATGCACGTGGCATTAGTTCTAGCACTAAAAACGCAGAGGCAGGCAAACTTCTGCGAGTTTAATGTCAGTCTTGTCTACATTATATTATATATTTAGTATTATAATTTATAAATTTACAGGTAGGTATGGGTAAGCATATTATTGTATAACAAATCACATGGTGTGCTGTTACATATTTTGCAGCCAATAAAAATTATTAAAAACTTGTCAATAAGAGATGATTAAATTAGAATAAAAGGTTGGGAATTTAACTCATTGGTAGAGCACTGGCCTAACAAGTAGAAGACCCTGTTTCAGTCCTCAGCTTAAAAAAAAAGACAAAATTACAAAAAAAAAAAAATGTCAACTAAACTTAGAATGAGACTATTGCTGTATTTGTTAATGCATGAAAAACATGGCATTAAATACACCAAAATGTTTTGTTAGTAGAGTTTTAGTACATGTCTTGGTTTAGTAGAGTTTTTGCCTTGATTTTCTAAGCTTTTCCAATTTTCCAAAAATTATAAAATCAAGGAATTACATGTTTTGTTTTTCTATTGGGAAAGGGCTGACCTATTGTTACTGGGTTTATTGTTACATATCTTACTGAAAAAAATGAAAGATTATTCACTACTCAGGCAGTTCACTTTCAGATGGAAATACAGATAATGCCAGATCTTACATTTTCACAAGTGAAATGGTTTGTTTTCATTTGAAGACTTCCTTAACAGGAACTTATAACCTTCAAATAAAGATTTTCCCTGGATGATTTCTAGCAAAAATAAACTAAGAAAGTCTTTCCATAAGTCTTAGTTAATTTAACTATCACACAAATGTTGATTTTTCAAACACATTGATCTTTCTGGTTTCCTTGTTAAAGAATCAGAAAACATAAAACCAGAATTTGAGTAATTAAGAAGTAATATTGTTTCAAGCCCTGCTGAAAAATCTTTGAAGTAAATTTTTTGATAAATAAATGATTGACTATCCCAGCACCCACATGGCAGCTAACAACTGTCTGTAACTCTAGTTCCATGGGATCTGACACCCTTTTCTGACTTCTGCTAGTATTGCATGACATGGGAACCCTTACATACATGCAGGCAATATACTCATACACATAAAATAAAAATGTAATAAAATTTAAAAATAAAACTGAGGACAAACTTTTTAATTATTTTATTAAATTTGTTCTTAGACAATTCCACATATGTACAAAGTTGCTGATCACTCTCATGCCCCATCCTCGCCCATCTCCCTACCTTGCCAGTCAATGTCCTCTTTCCTAAACAAATCTTTTTTCACATGTTCATGTCTGTTTTGTTTTGTTTTATAACCACTGCAGTTAGCTAGGGTTTTCTGTGTTAAACATGAACTTAGAGCTATCTGTTGGGGCCTGGTAGCCTCAGTAGTGGATATACAATTAAAGAGTGATTTCTTTCTCAGAATCCATCAATAGTCATTAATAATAGCCGATAGTTCAAAGGTAAAGGGTTTTAATTATAGAATGATAGTAGTGAGAAAACCAAATTATGATGATAATTAAGAGGCATAAATGAGGAATATTGAATTCAAGCATAATATAAATGGAAAAAAGATATAATAAAGAAAACATACACACACGCACACACACACACACACACACACACATACACACACCTACATGCCAACATTTAGTGCTGAAACAAACCCTATGTTAAGTGTGAAAAGAAGGGGTTAAATGATCAAGCTATATGAGAATGTGATGTTATTTAATAGCCAATAATTCAGTTAACTATTATTATATTGGAAACAATGAAATCTAATAATTTTAGAAGTGAGGGAAATTATTTGCTCAAATTCTCAAATGAGCTATGGCAAAAAATAATTTAAATGAATAGATATTTGTGGGATTCATAAAGAAAAAAGTCAAAGATGAGGAAGGTTCATTCTGTCCACAACTTCCATTAGAATACACTGAAATCGTAGGAAGAAAATACCTGTGAACATGCTTTTCACACTATGACAGCAATTTTCCATTATTCTTTACATCTTCCGAAGAATGCTGGGTAAAGGTTGAGTTGATTTGCATTCTTGCCTGATTCTATTAGTAATAACAATATAATGTCAGGCAAGTTGCCAAAGATTATTGTAATGTTCTTATATGATCAGATCTATGTGCCCCATGGGATCTTTGCAAGCCAGCAGGAAGTCGCAGGCCCAGTGTGATCTGCCAAGGTGTCACCTTTAGAAAATTTGGAATATGTGTTTGTTTTAAAATCCACATGAACCCTGTGAAATCTGGAGTGTTTACATAATAAACTAAATTTCTAAATTATTTTAAACGTGGTTGGAATCTCCAGTAACACTAAGATGTGTCCATATGCATTTTCAGCCCCCCTTAGGTGATGGCAGGGTCTCACATGCAAGCCACAGCCTCTGCCGCCTCCTCTTTTCTGCCTCATATGGAGCTGTTTGTGTTGCTAGCTGCCCTTGCTGCATTTCTGAATTCTAACATCTTTCAAAATACAAAATGTAGCCTAGAAAATTGCATGATTTTCTATTTTCAATACCCAGATTCTTTTCATTAATATATGCCTGATCCTGTTAAGAATTTAAAATTTTTGATCCTTGAAATAAAATTATTGCATTGGTTATATATGAAATCTGAACTGAAGCCGTTCTGTGTATATATTCTAATTTGCACTGATTTCTTTGGAAAAAGGTCCATCTCTGATTCCTTGTGTATCCTCTGAGCATATTTCTTAACACAAAGATAATGCCAAAGAGGCAATTTCTAATAACAAATTTAAATGGCTTGAGGAATGCAGAATCAATTGGTATATTTTTACTTTGGCAAAGTGATTCATATTGTTTATTATCCTTCAATATCGCTTCAAAAACTCACTTAAAACAATCAAATTCCATCCTGATGTCATTAATCTCACACCTAAGCCACTGGAAGAAACATTATATTCTGTCTCATTGTTTTATTATTGTGCTAATAGGCATGACCAGTATTAATGGCCACAGAGTATGAAAAAAGGCAAGGATTAGAGAAAATGATAGTTTTGAAAAATGAGCAATGAGAAAATCCATGTTATGAAGAGCATCTAGAATTAACGTGTAATGGTTATACTTGCTACTAACGTGCAACTTGGGGCTGTTTGATGAAAATGTGATTAGATATTTCTTTTATCTAAATGAAGTAGATCTCGTTTTCAAACACATCAATTATTTATTGAGCCCTTCCTATTTCAGTGTAATCCACACCAGCCTAAAAATAAAATGGGGCCAGAATTAACCAGAAATGAATGTTCAAAGTACTAGGGAAACTGGTAGTCATAGACAATTGTGATGCATGGCTCAAAGAAATTTTTAACTTATTATTCTTTGCCTATACTTCTGTTTCAAAAATCAAACTATAGATGAAAACATGAAATTACTAGAATTTAAAAAATAAAATATTCAATTAAATCACTAAAAATGAGATGTAAAACGACCTAAATAAATAACAACACTTTTAAGTACCAAGTTTTAATTGTTAACACTTTATGAATAGGCTATATTTTACAAACCTGACACTTTTCAAAGGTAGAGAAAGTACAAGAAATAAAAAACACAGATTAAAGGAGGTGCTTATGAATAAAATAGATCTGAATAGTAATGATATTTGTGTGTGTGTGTGTGTGTTTTCTAGTGACCAAAACCAATTCCGACTTTTTAAATGAATTAATCAGGAAATATCTCCAAAACAACACATGAGACCGTGTTTCAGCCTCCTTTCTGGGAATGGCAGTAGGTAGATATATTTTATTCAGTGATGTTTCTGGATTGAGGAAGCTTCCCAAATATAATGGTGCACATAACTCATTTATTAACATTTTGTAGCCCAGCATGAAGAAGACAAAAAGATAACTAGGCGTTTTCTATAACAAAAGTATAAAACACCTGCAATTTCATACAGTAGGTCTCATTTCCATAAACTGCACAGCCAGAGATATTTGGCAATCACTGTCCCTACCACCTTAAAACTGGGTGTTGTGGTGAAAATAAGATAGGAATTAGTAATCTTTGTTTCATGTTGTTAACAATAGAGGTCAGAATTTCTGCCCTTCCCTCTCCCAGTTTTATTTGGCATTTGCATAATACAAATCAAAGAATGAAACACTTTTTCCTAAGTCTTGGCTGATGATCCTTATACCTTAATGGAGTCCAGTCTATATGAAGTTATTTTATGCTCCTATTCACCCATATTTTTAGAGTGTAACATTATAATACCTTGGATTTTATTGTTCATGGCCCCACTGGTTCTAGAGTCTCTCCTTTAACGTTTGTTCTTTATGCACTAAAATACTTATAGCTTTAAATACCTCATGTGTTATATATACAAATATTCATTTTAATACTATAGTATCTTGTTTTACTACATTAAGAATTTTTGCACATTTTATTCTATTCTTAAGTTATATCATAAAAATCTTAAATACACATTAAAGTTATTCACATATACATATGGAATGAATTGAAATTCATTTCGCAGTTAAAATTTATGTTTCTTTTACTTTTTACAGGCTGAAGAAAAGGCTCATTCAGAGGTAAAGATCTAACAGATTTTCTCCTTTTATAATGCAATCCATTTTGTTACCACTAGAGGGCTCTGGATACAATAGCATAGCTGCAGGAATTCCTGTAGAAGTTGATCTATGGTCTTAGATAATAGCCTCTTCAAAGAAAATGAAAGGAAGTATTTAACAGCAAGTTTTCCTCTCAAATTCTACGTTAGTCTTAGGTCAACACCTAAGAAGTTGTCTGTAGTAGTAAGGACTCATTAAATCACTGGTGAATTAATGTTTAAAATTGGAAGACCACATGTTTATTTTACACAATCTTTTCCTCAGTACTTGAAAGATGATTTGCTTGGACTTGATGGAGCAATGGAATCTGAGACATGATCCCTACCGAGCACAGATGTTAGAATCCCAGCCTATCTATTTGTAGTATGATTGTGCTGCCCCTAGAATCACTGTGTTGTCATAAGCGCACACATTTCAAAAACACATACTTGGTTATAATCATATAAAAAAGCAACCTTCAACCTAAGGAGGAAATTCTTCACCTGTATATGAAACTTTCCCTAGACCAGGAGGACAGGATGACTTTATTTTGAAGTCCTAGAGAGATGGCTCAACAGTTTAGAGCACATACCATTTTTGCAGAAGACCCGACTTCAATTTCCAGAGCCCATGTCTGGTGGATAGCTCACAACTACATGTAACTCCAGTTCCAAGGACCTGACCCTCTCTTTCGGTCTCTGAAGTCACCTGCACTCAAATGCACATACCCACATTCAGACACACACACACACACACACACACACACACACACACACACACACATACATAATTAAAAGTAAACACGTCTTTATAAAAATATTTTATTCAGGGTGTAATAGCAACTTTCTTTCAGTTTGACACTGAAGTAATCAGACCACAGAGAAAATAAAGGCCTTGAAAATGACCTTGCAAAGGAACTCATTTCCATTGAACTCATTTCATCTCCTTTTACAGTAAAATTTGTGCTATGTTTAAAAATGCTGAAAAAGTGTCAGTGATGCAAAGAGTGATTTAAGAAAATCAAACTATGCTCTTTACATCTCATGGACATGACAAAGCTTTTAATGTTCATCACAAAATAGATGTTGAGGTACAGAAAGTACAGCATCTTCTTGCCTTTTGAGTAGTTATCCAATTATATTTCTCATTTATGCCCATAGTAGGTCATGACCTTTAAAAGAAGTAACATGAATCGCTTTATAGTTTGGGGTTTATATATTACAGGAGCTAGAATTTTATAATAAATATGTAAGTTGAGAAAACCTCTGTAAATTTGTATTGGTCTGAAAAATAAAAGCTGCTCTGCTTTCTGGAATTACCTATAGTCATTACTATATGAATGTAACCCAAAGTTAGTTGGGGCTGAGGTATATCTCCATTTTAAAAATAGAAATGAGTGAAGTGTGATATCCCAGCCTAGACTGTATCAGCAGTTCCAGGCCAGGTGATAGAGACCCTGTCTCAAAAGACCAAAAATTAAAAAAGAAATGAATAGTGGACCATGCTTGATGAAATTACGTGAATGTTTTCTATCATTTTATCCAGCGGAGAATCTCTCTCTCTCTCTCTCTCTCTCTCTCTCTCTCTCTCTCTCTCTAGAGGGACTCTCTCTCTCTCTCTCTCTCTCTCTCTCTCTCTCTCTCTCTCTCTCTCTCTCCCTCTCCCCTTGCAAGCTCTCTCTCATTTTCTTGCTCTCATTCTCCTCTCACTTCCTCCCCCCACTTTTGGTATCTGACTATTGGCCACCATTTCTTTTCTACAAAATGTATTTCACAAGATGACAAAAGGTAGTTAATGACCTGTGTCCAAAGTGCTCTTTTAAACTCAGACACCATTCCAAATATCCTACTCCAACAATAAGAGTCTTGTTTTTGAAGGCATTGGAAGCATCAGTATAGACTATTTGGCATCTTTGGGAAATACATTCCCCTAAGACCAGAAATACACTTTCAGAATCTAATTTCGATATTTGTGCATGCTATACATTATTAATCACTGTTTAGATTTCCTTGAAACATGGGATATTTGCATTAGACTGTAGAAAGTGATTAACTGAAATGCTAAATATGATATGATATTAATGTTTCTATTTTATTAAGGTGAAACTTCACCAACATATATAACATTTAAGAATATTTATTTGGTTAATTATTTAGTAAGTTGCACCATATTCATGACTTTTATACTTTTCACACTATTAATATCTATAATCACTGAGTAAAAGGCACTATAATAAGTATATTCAAGGTATTTTTACCATTAAAATTCCATCCCATAAAATTATCTTCCACCATGCATAGTGCTACATGCCTATAATTCTAGCACTCCAGAGGCTGAGACAGGAGAATCATGAGTCTGAGGCTATCTGGACTACATAACATTACCCTGTCTCGAAAAATATTTTCAAATACATGTTTCTTATGTGTTTGATTAAATCAAGCATGCCAGTATTATAAGATACCCTACACATTTTGAAATTTTTGAGAAACATAGCTCCTCCCAAGCCCCTGTGACCCCTGAGGAACAGATCCTCAAACAACTGTAAGAATAAAAATAAATTGGTTTATCTGGACCAACTGTATGGCCTTAAACACCTAAAAGGAAAGTATAACCAAAGATTAAAGGGGCCAATATAATTTCTTAAGAGTCCATATGTATAGCTAAAGGCTACATAACAAGGAACAATGCCAGATAGGTGATACCTTCTTTTGAGTTGTTGGCCAGGGTGTCCAAAGGGACTCCCAGATAGTAAACCCGCATAGAACTGGAAAATGAACAGCAGACCCCAATCTTATCCAAAGGAATATTGACAACTATTTACTCCTAGATGAGGAACAGCTGACCCTCCTAAAACCAAGACCTCTAGATAGGCTGACTAGAGTCACCAGAAGAGCAAGTAGTGGGGAATGGCTGGGGGTGCTGACAACACAGCAGACAGTAGCAGGGATATTCTAGTATAAGGGGTCTAGTGAGGGGAGGGAGGCTATGGGAGGGTGCCATCTGGGAAGTGGGTGTAAAAATAAATAAATAATAAATAAATAATAGAAAATAAGACAAAAAAGTACTAAGTAGCTTACAATGTACACAGTCTGTAATCACTCAAATTATATTCCTTATTGTCAAAAAAATAGAACATTAAAAACTGTGTGTGAAGAAACTCTGAGACTTTCATAAAAATAGCATGGCATATCTTTTGCTAAAAGAGTTCAAGAAAAAGTATGAAGGTGGTATACACTGAAGTTCTAAAATTACTTTTTACCTGATTTTATTACAATTTTTAGAGAGAGAAGACTTTAGAGAAGGTAAACTATTTCTGGAGTCCTCCAGCAGTTACAAAGAGAGTCAACAGCATGGTTTGATCAGCAGATTCCAGACCCAGCATTGAAGTTAGAAACTGACTCTTCTCCTCAAAATGGTATTTGAGGGTTGCTTTGTAGCTACAGTTCACGTCTTTGCATCTTTTTTCTTCTTCCCTCTCTCCCTTTCCTCCTTCCTTTCTCCCTTCTTCCCTCTCCTCCCTCCCTACATCCCTCCCTCTCTCTCTCTTTCTTTTTCTTTTCCTTCCTTCCTTCCTTCCTTCCTTTTTTCTTTCTTTCTTTCTTTCTTTCTTTCTTTCTTTCTTTCTTTCTTTCTTTCTTTCTTTCTTTTCAGAGAGAGTCTCACTATGTAACTCTGACTGTCCTGGTAGTCCCTATGTGTAACCGACTGGCCTCAAACTCAGAAAATTCCACACATCTGTGCCCAGCCTATGTTCCCATCTAGTAAGGAAGTCAGTGCTAATCCATTTGTGGTAAAATGTAATACTTGCTATCGTGTATTGAAATTTTTCTTTTAACTATTAATCTAGTATATTTGATTTTTTTTAATTGCACAGCAAATTCATAAGTTACGGAGGGAGCTGGTCGCATCACAAGAAAAAGTTGCTACACTTACATCTCAACTTTCAGCAAATGTAAGTTGTGTTTGGTTTCTTAAATGTATCAGAGGAGATACATTTATAAAATAAGATGGAATTGTTTTGTTAACAAATTTTAGATGCCCACAGTTAAGCAGGTTTGTGAGATGGAATAAGACTTGTATGAAGCTAACATTTCTGACCACTCACTAATAAAATATAAATCCAAATTGATGAGTCACTTTGAATTTAAAATGACTTGTCCTTTTGAAGGTTACAAACAGGGGGAATGGTCATAAAAGTTAACTCTTTCTTTTTTCTTATTTCTATAACTCCACATACTTGAGTTTTTCTTAAGCCATAATACAGTAAGAGCTGTTATTGTTTGATTTTGGATGACCAAATATTCATGTACCCTGTGTTTTTCATCCCCATTTATTGAACAATTAGTAAAACATACAAATAGTTCTATAAAAACTAACTTCAATCTAAATACAGATAGCTTAGCTACAGTATAAGTCAGGTATAGCTCTCAAAAACATCTGGCCACTCTTCTCAAAGTGGTTTAGAAGAAGTCACATTTGCAACTTAGCAACTTGGATTCGTGTCAGCGATGACCATCAGTTGTATTAACATTTATCAAATGTCTTTCCATGTGCATGGCAGGACTCAAGGTAAATTCAGAATATCACAGGAGAGCATGTGGCATCATGCACAGTCCTAGGGAACAAAAGTGTAGACAGATCAGTGAGGGCTAAGCAAGCTCCTAATCTGCTATGCTGTGTCTTGCTCAGTTTTAGTTCCCTCCTTTCTGCTGTGTGGCTTTGGGCTTCTCCTTCCCTCACCACTGCCACCTCTCTAATCCTCCTTGCAAATTTTCTGTCTCCTGGGAAAAGCATTGACATATCAAAAGTGAGCAGGTGCAGGGCCAAAGCATGTGACTTTGTAATATAACTTCCATAGAAAATAAGTCATTTTACTCATGGTACATTCATTTTAGTTCTGTATTTTAATTAATATGTTTTCAACTCTGAGAGGATAATGCTAATTACAGATTGACTATTATTTTTTCATAGACATTGTTTGGATATTCCTAAAAATAAGAGGAGGTTGGAAAACTTTGTAAAGGAAAAATATTTTATTTGTGGCCTTTGGAACAGAGTATATTGCTAAGAGGCCCAGGAAAGAAAGAAATAAAGAAATAAAGAAAGAAAGAAAGAAAGAAAGAAAGAAAGAAAGAAAGAAAGAAAGAAAGAAAGAAAGAAAGAAAGAAAA